CGGTAAAGTACTACGTTTTACTTGTACTGCCAGTAACCTGCATTTAGCGGACATAACGCAATGCTCGGCGAGTCCATTTTCAAAATGTTTTTTTTTTTCGGAAATCGCGTGGTCCTGTTACATCTTTCAGTCAAATATTACAAAATTTCAATATATTAAAATTTATTTTGAAATATATCTGATCTCGCTCCAAACCCCTGCTCTTAAAACCTAGACCCCTATTTCTTGCGCAACTGCTGACGGGGTTTTAAAGCTACATTTAATTTGATAAAAAGCGAAAAAAAACACATATTCAACTATTCTGTCATGAGCGCAGGAAGTAGAGCGGCGTCATGGATATAATAACCACTTCTTAACCCAACCTTTTGTTAAGATAACCCGAAAAAATTACATCAAACTCTAGAACTTTTTTTGTTTCGGATTGGTTAACCGCCGCCCATTTAAATTGTGGTGTTTATGCCTGAGGTATACAAAACACGACCGATATTATTCTAGTCTCAGCATGTAATCACCTTCTTGTTAGTTTTATAATTAAAAAAAAACATTTCTAAACCTAGTCTACACTATAAAAATAGCTGCAAAGTAAGATATTGAATGAAGTTTTATACTTATCGACCAAAAACTAGTTAAGCCCATTGCTTTTGTTTTGGCACAAATAAAACACCAAAGTTCTCTTTAATCTACCTTTAATTATGTTGTTGATTGACTCGTCATCATTAAAATGTGACGCATGGAATGACATTCCACTTTCTGTCCCCCAGATATCGATATCCACGTGATAGATCAATACGGTCGCCATGGTGTTATAGTAAACAATAGTAAACACGCGCTTCCGGTCACGAGACTTAAAAACACCTGTCGTCTGCTGTAGCTGAGCTAAAGATTTTTGTTAGACAAAAAATTGATAAAGGACATATCGACTAATTGATCGAATTGGCCTATATTTAGCATGACTTATTTAAGAAATAAACGATTAAACGAAATGTCCATTGAAGAAGAAAAAATGAGTAGATCTTAAAAAATTGGAATCCGCCCTCCACTCCTTGCCCCATTTCCGGTGGACAATGTTTCCCAATATTTTCGATCGAAGATTCATTGAGAAAACTGTTATATAGGCAGTGAGCCGTGAAACAGCAGATCAGGCGACAGGTGAAGGAATTTCAATCGTGGTTAAGGGACATTTTATAAGACATAACGGCAGATATTCGAATATGACTGAAGTGAAGTAAGCAGTAAACTATCTACATCAGAGGACCGACCACGAATTGTACAATAGGCATATCTCATAGACAGCGAAGTTGAGATAGCGCGCCGAATCGTAGAAATAATTTGGAGCCTCCAAAGTAGATAAACATCGAAGCGAGAATAAAGAGAAGATAAAATAGATCGATTATGAAGTGGAAATAACTTCGATCAATTTTGAGTTCTCTTTCTCAACTCGGTGAGAACTAGTAGACACCGCCAGCGTATTTTTACAGCATACACATATTCGAATCTGCGTGGAGTTGCTCATAAACAAAAACGCCCCACATAATAGTAGACTTTTAACATTCGCACGCAAGGAAGGTCACAGCGTCCCTGACATCTTGCCAGGGCAACCGCAGCAGGAATCCTTAATCAGTGCCATCCTTATCTCTAGAAACAGAGCGTGAATTATTCAACCAGGTGGTGACTATAAATTTCCCCACACGAGAGCCATGTACCTCACAAAACAGTTTCGCTGCGTGACTGTTACACGCCGCAACATGCTCAATTTCATCTGGGACACATGGCGGTGGATGTTCCCGCCCAGCACTCTCCCCCCGGGACCCCGGGGCTTGCCCGTCGTGGGGGCGCTGCCGTACCTTGGCAGGGACGTCACGGGGACCCTAGAGACCTGGGCGCGGGAGTACGGACCTGTTTTTAGCGCTAATTTTGGAAGTCGACCTGTTGTGTTTCTGAACGGGTTTGATGTGATTAAAGAGGCGCTGGTGACCAGACGGTCCGAGTTCTCCGGACGGCCGTACTTGTATTCTATCCACAGAGTGTTCAAGGGAAAAGGTCAGTAATTTGTATTTCTTTACGTCCATTAATCTATATAGTAACTGTCCTTCAGTAATTTATGAAGCGCTTGTCATTTGGTGGTGTATAAGAAATTAGGGCCGCGGCGTCACCTTCATTGGTGACAGGGAGCTAGGATTCTACATTCATGTACCCTAATATATCTGGCCAAATTAAACTTCGCATGGCGTTTAGAAGAGTGAGATTACTGGTAGCTGCTAGTTTCCACTGCTCCACTACAGTGCATGGATTGCACATTACCCCTTTTGTCTCAAGCTACAAAGATGCACGGGCATCCCCCTATCAAAGCGTCATCACTAGCTGTTGCTAATGAGTTGTTACATGTCAGGAATGTCGTGTATATGAAAATATCCAGTAGGGAAAACATGTTTATGACTTACAAATAAAGATGTCTTCGAGGCAAATACCATCTGAAAAGGAATTCGATTCAATTTCGTTCAATGGCAGTTTGTTAAATGACAGTTTTGTATTACGGAGATTTCTCATTGTCTCTAGATAGAATGATAAAACTATTTAACTATGCAATAATATTTTCCCAGTCCTATGAATGTGGGTAAAAACAAAATGGGTTTAAAATAGCTGTCATTGTTTACCACACCTAACAGTGCAGACGGCAGCCCGCCTCCACTCTAAACCAAACAAGAAAAAATCGAAAAGGTTACCAAACAATTCGACGGGAAACGCAATCCATTGATCAATTTATGGAGCAAATTTGGTCATGCATAATTAAACTGTTTGAACCACATTGTATTGAACGTGACATCGGTCCAATAAACATATTAAGCTGAGGACAGAAGAATCCAGAAAGCAAGTTATAACGCGATTTCCTGTCTCGATCAAAGTTTTAAAAACAGCTGGTTTTGTTCGGTAGTATTGCTTCTAGTAACGTCAGGCCGACCTAGCCTAGAGCCACCCAACTTAGCATATTGTCTGCTTAACGACACTACAGGAACTCCACCTAGCGACAGGGGTCTCTCTTTTTCTTCCATTTTTCTTCCACACCCTTCTCTACCATGGCCCACAGGAGCCTAAGCGTGCGTCTTTTAGTCGCCCCTTTTCACGAAATCTCAAATTACGCTGTATTTTCTTTATTATGTTGATGCAGTTGTAATTTTCACTGCATCAAAAGAATACAGAAGATGCATGTACATAGTAATTTGAGACTCACTTGAATTCTTGTTAAGTAATCCCCGTGGGGAATATGTTCAGTGTACATGTACAAGCGGGGAATCAGCGGCAAGCTTTTCAGTGGGTCGATCGCCATATTTTATCCACGGATCTGTGAGGTCGCTGTTCTCAATGCCTTCAAACATGTTTTTAAAATAATGTAAGTAATATATACGCCATCCCCCCAAAAAATATAATGATGACGATAACAAAATAATAATAATAATAATAATAATAATAATAATAATAATAATAAATAAATAAATAAATAAATAAATAAATAAATAAAAAGAAAGAAAAGTGGGGCTTTATTTTTATACATAATTCTGTACATATTTAATTTTTCTCTCCCAGGTATCCACAGCGTCGACTACGGCCCCTGTTGGCGCCACCAGAGACAGTTCACAGAAAAACTGATGTACGAGGAAAACCTGGAGGCCATCATCCAGCGAGAATCTCGCCACTTAACGGACAGAATTCAAACGTTTGGCGGGCGACCTTTTGACCCTGCCAAACTAATGAACGTTGCCGCTGCCAACATCATGTGTTCGGTGCTTTTTGGGGAGAGATATGATTTCGATAATGAAGACATACAGCGGTTACTAAGTCTCATTTCAGACGCGCTAAAACTTGCAAATGGTGCTTTTAATTTCATATGGATTGCTCGGTTCTTTCCGTCGGCTAGACGCTTCGACGCACTGGCAGACGAGATCTTGAAGACTGTGGAGAAGATTGTTAAGCCCCATCTGGACTCCTATGACCCCACCAAGACACGCCATTTCTTAGATGCTTATATGCATAAGATCCACCAGTCGCCACACTCGGACACCTTCAATACTGATCAGCTGATGTCGGTCGTCCTTGACGTCATACTGGCCGGTTCCCAGAATGCTACAACCATGATGAAATGGTGCCTTCTTTATCTGGCCACACACCAAGATGTGCAGACGACAGTTTACTCTGAACTTCAACAGGTATTTGTGCTATCTCAGTTTAAGCTTCGGGTACTCCCTCTAACAATCCAAATTGACCTTGCCAGGATGAAGTTATCAAAATTCTTCATTTCAAAAGCAGGATCAAGTTTTTATATCATCCGTGTCTATTTTTGTTTTTCTTTAAACAAAATTTGATTTCATCGTCAATACATTGATGGAAAGCAATAACCTGAAGGAAAATATAAAATAATTAACGAAAAAAAAAAAAAACGATTTATAACTTATCTGGTCACTTTCACAAAAGCAATTTTATTTAATCATGTTTCAGGTGCTAGAGAACAACCCCTTGTCCTACGATCTCCGTCCACAGCTACCGTACACCGAGGCCACAGTACTGGAGGTGATACGACGAAACACTGGACGGTTCCCTCTTGGTGCATCTCACGCGACCACGTGTGACGTCACCTTCAGGGGGTACGTCATCCCCAAAAGCACTTACGTCAGCGTCAACCTGAACTCCGTCTTCATGGACGAGAAACTGTGGCCGGAGCCAATGAAATTCCGACCGCAGCGCTTCCTGGCGGAGAGCGGAGAGGTCAAGGAGCCTGAATACTTCATGCCTTTTGGTTTAGGTAAGTAAAGATTGTATTTTATTAATTTTTTGAAAACCTGATTAATTTCTCCGCCATGGAGGACTGCTATATTTTGGATGTAATTATTTTACTCCTCACTTGTATCACGTTAATCAGCTGATTTAACTTACTTCAGATGGCTAACACTACAGGTAATAGGCCTACTGGTTGTTGAATAAACGTGAGCATTATGGAGGGTACTGTTAATTGCTTTGCACCTGTCAAGATGATCATGACGAGACCGCCCTCATTTCAATTAAGGAGGACTGAAACCGCATGTTTTCGTTAATAGATGTCTAGTAGTGAAATTATGGCTTTTTTGTGCAATTTATTTGGCTCATTAGCAAACTTCCTTGATGTTGTTGTTGCAGCTGCTACTGTTGAATGTCTGAACAAATTGGAGTTAGTTCACTGTCTTGTGGCTAAAAAGGAGAGAAAAAATTGCTCTCTCAGACAATGTCATGCAATACATAATGATCAGATGTTACCAGGCTTCAATAATTTCCACATGTAGCCGAGGCTCAGATTTTAAATCTTATAAAGCTTAACTTAGACTTGAAGTCCATCAGTTGACGTCCTTAAACGACTGACAGTCCATCTCACGTAAAATGCCGCTTCTGGTGAGTGTAATGAACCGGGCTAAGGACGTACTGCAGGTTAAAGAAAGAAATAAATAAAAGAAAACCCCTCAAACTCTACCCATCTACTGCAAATGTATGCAATACGTACGTCCCAACACTTGCTTAATGTATTGTGATTNATGTAGCCGAGGCTCAGATTTTAAATCTTATAAAGCTTAACTTAGACTTGAAGTCCATCAGTTGACGTCCTTAAACGACTGACAGTCCATCTCACGTAAAATGCCGCTTCTGGTGAGTGTAATGAACCGGGCTAAGGACGTACTGCAGGTTAAAGAAAGAAATAAATAAAAGAAAACCCCTCAAACTCTACCCATCTACTGCAAATGTATGCAATACGTACGTCCCAACACTTGCTTAATGTATTGTGAATCCCCCCCCCCAATATCTTTATATAACTGTGCTCTATTTCTTCCAGCTGTAAATGTACACATCATGTGTATCCGATGTAGGATATACTTATGCTACACGCTGATAAGAATCAGATCTCTGACGTTAAAATATTGAAACCATTTCGCCTTAAGTATTCAGGATGAACTGATTAAACGAAGAGATGTGCACAGGTCACAACGCGCACTCGGCGACCTTGGGTGTTTATATGAGGTTCAGGAAGATACAGTTAATGATAAATAAGCTTGTCTGTATTTCCAAGTTGAATATGTATGTACAAGTTTTCTTTTAAAATCTCTCTCATTCTTAAGATCTCCACTGACTTAAGCCCTCGCCAGTCTCTCCACCACCAGGTACTGTTTGTCTAATTTATGTGAAATACTGTCTGATATTTTCAAAAGAGATACAAATATTTTATGGCTTAAGTTATCCTCCTGTCTACATAAAGCATATCCGCAGGGGCGGATTTAGGTCGTCTTCTGGGTCTTCCGTAAGACGGTCAGATTTTCAAGTTAACATTGTCGGGCATCTAATATTTTCTGTCGGAAGTCGGATCAACAAAGATAATTTGGAAGACTGTCAGAAAATATCTCTGGATCCGCACCTGATAATCCCAAGATCTTTATGTAAATCCAACAGATCTTCTGATCTCAATTTATCGGAGTTTTATGGTGTCTCCATCTTTCTCTTTTACCCTCCTAAGCTCAGCTCTATGGTCCAAGATTTGGACGTTTTATGGCTTGACAAGGATTTGGCCATATCATAGACAAAATTACGGGTTATGTCTAAGGCCATATCAAGTGTGGCAGAAAAGTTGCTAGTGCTACGTACGTTTCATGCATTCGTATCTCAGCCTTAGTTTTGCAAGGTCATGAAAGCACCGTCTAATAAAAAAGCTAGTGTATGAAGATAATCTTACTTTATATCCGTCTTCGTATCTTTGCCAGGTGATCGTAGCTGTATGGGTGAGGGCATCGCACGGCGGGAACTCTTCACCTTCGTGGCGTCTCTAGTGAACGCTTTCCACTGGAAGTTTCCCGAGGAGAAACCAGGTCCCAATCTACAAGAGAAGGTCTATGCGCCACCGCAGTTTGAAGTGTGTGCAGTACCCCGCCGGCAATAACTGGGCACTTTCCTGTCTGCGAGTTTTAGGAACGTTAGTTTCACCTTTGTTATGCAAGATCAACAAAAGAAAACTTCCAAAGGTACTCGGAAATCAAGGAGCAATTAAACTCCTCGGGTATTCAGATTTCTTCGGTCTTGGAACGGATTCGTATTAAGCAGAGAACATTATGCTAACTTTACTGAGGATAATTTTTCATGGGCCCGATCAAATATCGTTGTATTGATTCTCAAAGCTATTGCAAGTGTTGTGCAGCGCAATGAGAAGATCACCGCCGTCTCATCTACCGCAATCGGACCTCGTGCACTTACCAAGTCGAGCATGATTTCGTCTGCAGCGGGCATCCCCGTTAAAAAGGAAAAGGAGAGATTATTTAATAAGCGGCGCTAGGATTACAAACAGCTTCTAGCATACACCCATATATCTGATAAGAGCGAAATATATTTTACTGAATTACTTGTTTTTGAACTGTCCGAATTAGGGTGAAATGTTCTTTTTTGGCGTTACAGTTGGAACAATACTTAAAACCTGAGCATTATTTAAAATTGAAGCAAAGACGATGTATTTTATAATTATTCCAAGTTTTAAATATTTCATAATTTTATATAGTATAGTATTTATTATTGGTATCGAAAGATAAGAGTTAATATTTCTATAGTTACAGTTTTTAGATTTTCAGAGGCACTGGCACCTTGTACTTCACAACACAAACTGTATGATGTAGTCACGTGACAAGACAAGCTGTTATAGCTATAGACAACAAAATTAGTATGTTAATTTATGTGACAACCCAACTCGTTAAAACACAGTTGGAGCACTTCCTGCAACAGTTTTTGTATCGTTGTCGTGTTTGTAATGTTGTATGACTCTAGGTGCGAGTTCTGAACGCTTTAACCAAATACGTAACCAAGTACTAATGCCAGCAAGTAGTCTGTTTATTGTGTAAGTCTATCTTTATAAGGCAGATGAGCTAAATGGAGACTTTGCAGGTCACTGGTAGATTATGGTGAACTGTGGTCGGGATTTCAGGAGAGATGACGTGAGGGGGGAGGGGGGATATTTTGGAAGTACCTTATTTCAAGAGTTCAGACAGTTCCGAGTACTACACGTTATTAAATAACAGTTGACAAATTGCCTTATCTCTTTTTATGTTAACTTTAAAGGAAATGTTAAAATAAAATTAAAATAAAAACAAATATTTTCATTATAAGTATTCAGTTGTTTAACTCAATTAAGGCTACACCGATTTAATTTATGCATGACATCCGCCCGTGCATTAATTTTCTCTTGTTCTCAAAAATAAAATAATAATAAATAAATAAAATAAAATAAAAAATAAAATAAAATAAAATAACTCGCCTGACTGTGTCACCGTCTTTGCCAACTCAAAATGCAGCATAAGTCTGGGTTTTAGCAAATTCCATTTAACTTCTACCTACTGAATTAGTCGTAAATCGGATTTTCTGCACGTGCGAACTGCCACCAAACGTGGATACAGAGAATGCAAACGTGTCGTCGTTAAAATACATTTAAACATAAACGTCCACAAGAAATAGGGAGGTACGTGATTATAGATTGCTCAACTATAGGAAAGACTGGCGGCGGCAGCGGCGACCAGCTACATGTATCCTCCAGACAACATCAAAGGTGGAAAGACAGCATTTCCAGTTATTTGTATGATACAAAGATGATAGTTGATTATTTAATATTTTCTGCCCCGAGAAAGACGATTTGTTTGTTACACTGAGATGTTGATGACTGCTGACTATATAGTTTTCTCAGCGCGAAAAAATACGTGTTGTTGGTTTGATACAGTGTGGTCTGTGACCTAATTTGCCTTTAGTTTCTAGATGCGTAGTTCTTTAATTTATCAGCTATTTTTTAAATCGCTGCAAGCATTGGTTTCGGGGTCTCTAAGGGCTTTCTTCCAAAAAATAACAACAGTTGCGTTTTATTAGACCTGTTGAAAATATCTTCTTTATAGATCAGTCCATTGTTTTTTAGCGTCTTTATGTTGCTTGTCACTGAATAAAAAAAAAATAACTAAATTATTTTCTCCTTGTGATCCAAATATTATATCAGAAATGACAATCTGTCATGGAATCACAATATATTTTTTTTTCGTTCAGCAACAGAAAACACCAAATGCAAGTATTTAAAGAAAATAAAACTTTTTGACAATTGTTTTGGGGAACATACTTTAGCCATGACGCAAAGTCCCTAGAGTTGCAGTGTAAATATATAAATATATATAAAAAAATCCTTACGTCATGTCTAATTTACCATGACTGAACAACTACAAAATATAAACGCGGTATAAAAATTAAAACTGAGTGATCTGGACCATACTTTACCAAACGTTTCCGGAACAAGCGTTACCATTAACGGCTCTTTGCATAATGTAAAGACATGGTAAAAATTAGGATTTATATTTAAATTTAGACAGTCGTGAAATTTTTGTTCTATACTAATATATGTTTTAAAAAATTAATTCGACTTTAAATTCATTCAATTTTATTTTTGAAACAGATAATTAATGTTTATTGTAACTCATCGTGTTTTTTTTCTGTAGCAAAATAATAAAATTAATAGATAACAAAATGTTCAATTATGGAATATTATCTATTGCTCTTCGTCTTTCTTGGGGAATGTGTCATTCACAGCCTTGTATGCTTCAACGGCCATGAGTTGTTTTGCCGGTAGATGGCGCTCCCAGATGGGTAGGTGAAGGTCGCGGCAAAGTCCCGTGAGGTCAAGGTCGAAGTGAGGTATTATGGCTTCTAACGTCGTGCCGAAAAATATTCGTTCAATTCTGAAAAATGACACAATTTAACTGCGATCAAATTACGAAAACCAACTGAAGTTAATCACAAAATAAAATTTAAATGATAGAAGATATTTCAGTCCGAATAAAAAAGTTGATGAAAATAAGTACAGTATGCACCAAGAGCGGATCCAGGATTATTTGAAAGTGGTGGTGGGGGGTCCATTTTATTATGAATGATAGGCCTCGAATGCCAAACCGACCCTTTCCTCCTGGTGTGAGATGCGGTGTTTTGGGCAAACAATGCCATTTGATGCAGTTTAGAACTATGATTCAGCTCTTTAAAAGTCTTATATCACGAGGACAATATTAGTGCCCCCCCCCCCAACACCCCCTACCCCCTAAACCCACCACTAGTGCCTGTATATGTATTTTGTGTGGATTTATATGTTTAACCCAAATTTGATTCAACTGTCTTTTCAATCAGTTTTTTTTTTCAAATATAAATATTCATTCTAACAGTTTTAAATTTCACTTAAGACCTCAAAAGAAACCAATTTGTGATGTATGATTTCTATTACACATATGTATTTGCTGAATAAACTATTATCAATATGTGTACTCCATAGATGCGTTCGGGGATGTAGCTCAGTGGTAGAGCGCACGCTTTGCATGTGTGAGGCCCCGGATTCAATCCCCGGCATCTCCACAGTACGTTTTTGACAATTTATGCAATATGATTTGACCAAATTGCGTTGTCTACTTGACTCACAAGCTGTGAAGTTATTTCTGATGGTATTTTTTAGATTTCTGATGGTGCCTTTGTTACGGCGATTTGCATAATGATAACGGGGAAACACAACGCGTGTTTGAATTTGATTACCAAATTCAAATTGTCACAATTGTGATAATTACAATACTCATTCCCAATGGCATGAGTAAGTTATTTCATTTCTTCTTTTTTGTTCACCCATACGTACCCTGTGAAGGCAATCAAGGCGGCACACATGGTGCACGGCTCACAGCTGGTGTAGATGTCACATCCGGTCAGGTCACGTGTCTTCAACTTCCTGCACGTGTTTCTGATGGCCACTACCTCGCCGTGAGCGGAGGGGTCATGGTCCACTATTGTACGATTCCAACCTTCACCTGAAGGAGAAAATGACAGTTAAAAAATATCGATCATACATAATGATCTTTAATCGAAATATTGTAATAGAAATCAAATGAAAATAAATAAACGAATAAATAAGGCTCCAGACTTTTGTCTAGTCTGGATGCTTTCAAGTCTTTATGACGAGGACATGGATCGTATTCAAAACAGTGTACTAACTAATCCGAGGGTCAAATATGGCCGACCCAATTGAATACCTCCCTACGGGAAATCTGTTCAGTGTCCATTAGCGGATTAGATGGTAATGTTTTAGTGTGACGACATATTTGGACCGCAGACCAGTTAGTCCACTGTTCTGAATGCGGCCATTCAGGAATTTGCCGCTTATCAAATGACCGAGAGGCAGTGGCATTCGACCATTTTTAAAAATCACTTCCTGGTGAACTTACATAATGTCCTAGCGTCGAGGGGAACCTCTCCACGAGGGGACCCCAGACAAATTAAGTCAATTATTGTACACATTTAAGACCTCCGTATAAGTCAACTTCAGTCTTCTAACAGAATGAATAAAGCTTAGAAATGCAGTATTCCCTACTACCTTCCAGCTATGAGTTGTTAGTTACGGTAAGTCATGACCAGCACCTACCTATAATCTGGCCGTCCTGAACAATGACCGCAGCAAAGGGTATTCCGTCACCGCAGACCGCGGCGTGAAGACTTAACTCTATAGCACGCTGCATAAACTGCTCGTCACCAGCGTCACCCATTTTGTCTGAGAACACAAGTCAAATAAAGAGAAATGTGATAGA